ACTCTGAAAATATGAACCAAAATAAGCTTTTCTTTTAAATTATGAGGTTTGGAAGTTTTGTCCAGCAACAGAAAAGTGAACAGTTCAGAAAATTTCCAATAGAGAAGTGGGGTCATTACTGTAGCTACACATGACCATGGGGGCTCAGAAGCCTTTGTAACTATTTCTCAGGAGGAATGTGTGATTTGGTGATGTGGGCTTCAGACTCCTAGAAAGCTATAAACAGAGACTGATAGATGATTATCACAGTAGCTCAGAAGCTCTGAATGTTAAACAGAATTTAGAATAAAAATTGTACTCAAGAAGCTTTAGACTTCTGATGGAAAAAGAGAATTCTTTTGACAATTGGACAAGAGACCAAAATGCTATATTCTTACAAATCATTTTTCTACAGTTTATCCACACGCTAAAATTCTGTAAGGCGGAGTTCAAGGATGATGCATTAATTGGTCTAGTGGAGCAAAAATACTGTAAGACCAGCATCCCTGCCTGCTACGAGATCCTGAGAGGCTGCTGAGTCCCTGGGAGTGGAGTGAAGCTGCAGTGGATACCACAGAAACTTGGAGATGCCAGGAAAATGGAACATGGTCCAAAAAGTTATAAGCAAGGAGCAGAACCAGCAGAAGAATGAGGTCATGGTGTATTTGAAGATCAAATGTATTTGAAAGATATAAGGTTATTGAGAAATTAATCATAGTTTAAAGATGGGTAATTAAGTGTCAAATTGATAAAGTGATAGTCTTCAATCAGTTGAGCTTCACTGTAGTCTTGACTGGACTGAGAGACTCCTAGAGAGGTATCAGATTGTGAGGGCAGTAACTTCATTAAAACTGAGTTTGTATTTGAATGGGCTTTTAGGACATGGGGTATAGTTTAAGGAAATGGGTCAAGAGAGCATAATCTTGCGGACTATATTAGTCACTGAAAGTTTCTTCTTTGGCTCTTTGTAATCTGCTCTGCTTTCCAGCTGCCATGAGTGTAGCAGCTTTCCTCTGTGATGCTTTTCCCCCAGGGGGACTGAGATCTCTGAAAGTATGGGCCAAAATGAAGCTCTGTGCATTTAGATTGTAAATGTAAGAAATTTTTGCCCCCGAACAGAAAAGCGACAAATGTGATTCTCAAACAATCATAAAATTCAGATATCTATCTACCTAATATATTGTATGCTCTAAATACATTAAACACTAACAATCAGTAAACTGAACATTTTCAGTAAGAATATATATATGTATATATATACATATATATATATTCATCTATATCATATATAATGTATATTTATTTTTATTCTTAACAACCTAGACCATGCAAGTGTCATAAAGACATCTACAAAAATATATTTAATATTTGGAAGCCTCTTGATAAGAGTTTTAGTTTTCAAGTTATAAAACTTTTTTCATACTTGAATTAACAAAACAATTATATAATGCAGAAACGAATGCAGAATCATTATATGTATTTTAATATGAGTAAATGGCAAGTGAGAAATAAGTGACATGCCCAAATTCACATAAAAGCTAAATAATATTCTTAGACTAGGTCCTCTAATTCAATTTCAGTATTTAGTTGTTCAAATCTGGAGTGTTCCCTGAAAGTCCACATGTTAAAGGTGATTCCTGAGACTGGGAGGCTGTAGAAACAAGAGTTGGGGCTTGGTGAGTGCTGTGCAGTCATCATGAACACATGCTCTGAGGAATTATGACTCAGGCTGTCTCTCTGTGCTCACGATGCGAGCAGGGTTACTTCACCACAAACTTCATGCAGTCTTGTGCTGCCCCTTCCTCATCAGAGGACTGAAACTATTAAGTCTTTCTCATCTAGACTGGAATCTCTAAAACTGTAGGCAAAATTAAACTGTTTCTTTTCACGAACTGACAATCATACCTTAATTGACTAATACATTTATTTCACTGCCCCTCATCTCTGAACTATGGTGGAGAGATTTATGCATTCTAGTTAATACCTCCATGAGATACTCTTAGAAACTGGTTCACATTTATTTACTATTCTTACCATATTGAGTTTTTGTTAAAAACATGTTTTTCTTACTTTCATGCTATTCTGTTACTTAAAATGAAACATATTTAAGGAGACGTGGAAGCCAATCTGAGAAAAAAAACTGTCAATTTGCCTATTTATTAGTGATATATTTTTGAAAACAATAAAATATACATCTTAAATAAAAGTTATCAAATAAATGTTTCCTAGATGTGAATGTATGGGCTAGTAACTAAAGCAATGATTTCCTTTATTTTTTAGCCTTGACTAGTAACAGTTCTTAAAGCAAATCCCACAACTACTATTATACTTCATATTGTATTGAGACAATATACTAGGTGTTATAATATCTATTAAGTACATTTAATAATATGTTACCATGGTGATATAAAATTTCATATTTTTAAACCACTTAGAAATTTTGAATTATTCACATTTTACTTTAAAATAATAGAATTTAAATTATGCAAACATCAGAAGTACTATTGAGTACTTTGAATATAAGCATTTTACTATTTAGCCACAAAGAAAGATAAATTTGAGTTTTTAGGAAAACGATTGCATTCTGAGAACAAAATGTTAAATGACATTAAACAAGTGCACAAGTTGAATACCACATGGCTTTTCTTATATGAGTTAGGAAAAATGTATAAAGCAAAATAAATGATAGGTAATAAGAATTAGGAGGATAGATCTTTCTCAGTGGAGAAGGGGATCGCCAGGTGGAAGGGAAGGAGTACTGTAAAAGGAATTAAAGTGTGTTATGTACTTGTAATAATTCTCCACAAGACATATAAATAGTATATATACTATATGCGTATACAAAGTAGGATAAAAATAAATATAATTTTGTAATGTCATTAGTAGTATTACTTAAAATGTAGTTAACTGAATATAACTAAATTTCATGGGCAATGTTGCATTTGTAAATCAATTTTTAAATTTTCAATTTAGACAAAAAGTGCATTTAGCTACCAGGACTCATTTAATTTTACATAAATATTAATCTCTTTGAGACTGTGGCAAATCTGATTGGTTTTCAATGTGAAATTAAAATGCAAAAATAAACTTCTCTTGGGCTTACTTATGAATAGAATTTTTCACTAATCATTATTTAACAGAGAGCTGTATAATGATCAGTATTTGACATTTTCATGTGGTAGATTTCAAAGCTTGAAACCACAAAAAGTAGGTCCACCCCAAAATACTGTTTATCTTAGAGTCTTGCAAACTTTGTCCCTGTGAAAAGAGCAAACTTAGCAGCAACCCTTTGAATTCTATTCCTCTGTTGTAATCTGCAAGTGACAGAGCCACAGCCACTGCTAGTGAGTAGCCTAGCAGCAAATGGGAAAATAAACAGGTTAAAATAAATTAAGAAAATTTATTTATCTTTAAAACATGTTTTGATGTAATTACTGTTAACTTTATCACTGAGTAGTAAGTACTTATATTTTGCAATGTTGTTGAAAAGTAAGCACAAAATATTCATTGTAAAAATGTTACTATAGCGTGAGGGCAACTACTGGCAAGGCCGAGGGCTATGGGGAAGGGGGCCCCCCTCACCAAGCCGGCCTTGGCTCCCTACTCACTCAGAACCACGAGAAGGGCACCCCTTGACTCTGGAGGTGCAGGCACATTTTTAACCAGCAAGAAAAAGTCACCCCGGACTGGCATTTCTGGAGCAGAGCGGGGTTTGGGGCTCCCGTGAGGAGCCAGGACCCCTCAGCGCTGCCCTGTCATCACCTTGACCATTTCCAGGTTGCTGTTGGAAGAATCGGTCCCGCAGCCCCGCGTGCCCAGGTGGTGCCAGGCGTGCACTAGCCTGAGCCCCAGAGTTTGGGGTCATTGCTCCCACTGCCTGTCAAGGAGCTGCCCGGCCTCCTGCACACTCTACAGCTCCTCAGGTCTCGGCCTGCCTGCCCCAACCCTAGTGACCCTCTCTCAATCCCAGGAACTGGGCTGTCAGAGGCCCAGGATTTTATGATTCAATAAAATCACCAATAAGCTGGTGATACATTAAATGTTCATTTTTCTAGTATTACAAATAAGTTTATGCAATAAGAAATAATTTATAACATTATCTGATCACAAATAATAGAAATATTCCTTTAAAACTCAGTAAGCATTTCTATGTGCATCTGAAAAGAATATGTACACAGCAGATTTATTTGCAATTTTGTGAGGTCTTCCTCTGATCTTTATAGTATTTATTCTTGAATCTTTACTACTCACATGTAGTGATTTAAGAGTACATTTTCCTTTTAAATACACTAATGTTTTTCATCATGTAAATAGTATTTGAGTAAAAATTGTGGCTTTAAAAATAGCTTTCATACTTTAAAGAATTTCAAAATTTTCAATAATCGAGGCAAACCTAACTAAATTACTTTGTATTTTATTTCATTTGCGAAAATCAGACAAGAAGCATATAAAACAGAATTATGATACAAAATTTTTTATATCAATTTAAAATTTACCCATTCCAAAATAACCCAAAATGGACTGCTCATTATAAGTATAGTTCAATTGATTTTCAAAATATTTATTCAAGTTTTTCAAAGGTAAACTGTCATAGTTTTAAAAATTGGTCCATTTTATAATCACAGTATTGGAATGATTTTGATACCTTTCTAGGCAATGTAAAATTATTAAAACTCATGTATGTAATTGGATTCATAAATTGTGATTGATAACTTAAAGATATGAAGAGGCCTCTTCATCCTGTGTTATCTATAATTTGGTATATTCGTAGAACAAATTTCAGGTCATAGATTTTAAAACAAGAAGTTTTTACCGCTCAGAAAATAGTATATTTACTTTTGGCTCCCTAATGCTGCTTATAAAACTAGATATAATTAATTTTGTACTCTGCCACATGTAGGTTTCAAGATAGCCATGAACACTGGAGAAGGCAACAGGGTATCTATAAAACATGTAACAGTACAGATTTGGAGGAACACTTGACACAAGTTGTTGGAGGGGGGAGATATCTGTCCACTTACCTCATCTTAGTTCCAAAGTAGAGGAGGAAAGATAAGTCCTTCTATTTTAGAAACACCATATTCTAACCATCTCCAGGAATGAAATGTGTGCCAATAGCCTGGAATATGATCAAAGTAATTTAAAAGATACTTTTGCAAAGTCAGCACTGAGAGAACTTTTATGATAACCAAGCAAGACAAATATCACCTGAAAATTCACGGCTATTGTTTTATTTAAGTGACCTTAGTCTTAGCCAGCTTTGGTGCTACAGTCCTCTAATTTCGGCTTTAGAGAGGGTAAAGAGTCAGGAGGATCACCATCCCAGGCCACTTAGTAAGAGCTTTTCTAAAAATTAAATTGGAAATTTGGCTGGGGATATAGTTCAGTGATTCTTGAGATCAATGTCCAATACCTCAAAATAAACAAAACAAAACATACAATATTTTAAATCCTTGAGGTTTAGGAAAAATAACTCTCCTGAAGTCTGAGGAGATATTGGACGAACCTATGAGAGAAGTGGTCAAGAATCAAAAAGAGAACAAGGCCCCACAGGTGACATATCAGAGCTCATGTTCACAAACCTCATCAAGCAGCCATAAAAGTCTACCTGGAGACCTGAGAAAGCACTACTCAGGTTATTAACCAGAAGAAAGCAAGAAAAGGAAAGGTACTAAACTGTGATGACATTATCACGGATGCTTTTCCTCCTTAGGAAAGCCTTAAACTAAAAGCAAAGCAAAAATATTTTAAGGAAATAAAATATTGTACAAATATCTCCCATTGATATAGACAGAAATAAACAAATACTGCTTTACAAAATTTAGGATTTATAAGAGAGTATCATCATGATGTGAGTGAAGCAAGGCTAGTCCAACAATGAGAAATAAATTATTTACCAATTAAAAGACTAAAGATGGTTAATGGCAAATTTGTCATACATGTGGGACAAAGAGGAAAAGATTAAAAAGAATTATAAGTAGGAATTATTTTTTCAAACACCTATTACAATGGTGTTTTAATATTCATATTCAAAATCAGAGTTAAAGACCTAGTGAGGCCAATAAGTAAATGAAAAAAAAAATAGGGTAAACATGTCAAACTCCAACCTGTATATGTGAATGTGTGTTAGTCATAGTATCAATTGTGTCTCAATAAAATGATCAAATAATTAAGGGAATAATCAGCAAAAAATAAATGAACTAGAATTAAAAAGCAGAAAATTGATTATGTAAAACTACTTGACAGTTGTACATGGTACTATTTTAATGTAAAATATATCAATAAATAGAAAATGAGAAAATATGTCACTCTTTGCAAATGAGATGATTAGCCAAATAAAATATCAATAAAAATCCAAAACATGTTTACAATCCAGTGATAAGCTGTAAGAAACAAAATCAGTATATAAATTATATATGTGAAATATCCATTATCACAGGAAAACCAGTGGAATTCTTACACATAAATCTAAGAAAATGTCTGTGAGAGACTTATGTTGAAAATAATAAAACTTCCTCTTCCGTAGTCCTCCTGGTGTTTGTTATCCCTGTGTTCTCTGGGCTTCCTCTTGTGACATTCCAGCTTACTAAACATTTTTCACACTTACAGATAAGAAAATTAAACAGGTTTTCATTGTACTTTCATCCAAGCAGTCCCTGCTGTCCTTCTTATTCTTTAATGATTATGCTGTCGGACTGTGAATCAGCTGTGTATTGAAGTTATAAATGTGACATAAGGTGCTTTTATGAAAGCCATTTTGCATATCTACATCTTCTTCCCTGCATTTTGTTCTGGCTTCTACTCAAAAACCTAATGGGCTGGGAAGGCAATAAGGACCCAAGAAAGATTTGAAAGTTTTATTAAATGACTACTTTTTAAGTCATGCAAGGAAACAATAACTATCACAAAAGTCTTCAAAATCTGAGGTATGAAAAAGAGTGGGGTTATTGGCCACCAAAAAAAAAAAAAAAAGTGCAAAACAAGACAAGAAAATCTTGCACAGAAAGAGCCTGAGAACGTTCCACAAATCTCCTGCTGCTCCAGGGGAGCAGGAGAAATCAAGAGCGAGGCTTGGCTATGAAATCCTTAGGAAATCTGAGGATGAAATGAGAAGCAATACACACATAAGGCTGAAGACTGGAGCCCATGGTAGGGCCACACATGAAGCGAAATCATGCTCAAAGGACCAAAACAGAAACAGCAAATGGCATCTTTCAACTGACAACCTACACTCAAAGATGGTTGTTACCCTGCATTCATTAGATGACCTCACTATGTCAGACTCTGCAATGAGTCATTGAAAAGGCTTAATTCATGTTTTATGAAACAAAAGCTGGTCAAAACAGTAGAAGACAGGATTTTCTTGGTGTGATGATTAGTTTTTTCCTCCAAATGTGATGGGGATTTCCTTATGATTTAAGCTTAAATATCATAATTGATCATGTATTTTTTCTGTATATTACTTTTTAGGCTTGTGAAAAGTAGTAAGTGTTTTCACAGTTGTACCTTTTTCAAATAACCACAAGTAAGAAATTCCAAATATTTTAAAAGACTTACCAAAGTAGAGGGTCTTTGAGTTTGATCTCCATACTGAAAAAAAGAAAAAGTAGAGGGTCGTATAAGAGAATGTATAACACTGTGATAGAAAAATACCCATTGAAATTTAAGAGGGAAATATAGAAAATCAGAGTGCCTTTGGGGACTAAATTGTATATTAGTGAATCAAGGGAATTTCTATGAATCAAGTAATTAAACAAAGGCTTTAAATTGAGTAACTCAACAATTCAGTCACTCTACGTGGAATCAGAACTTACATTTTTTTTTTAAAGATGTGTTTGCAATTTCTTTGGGAATCTGAAAGCTGGTCTTTTCAGGCTGGTTAAAAAAAAAATCAAAGCTGAAAGATGTGTATCTATTTAATTATTTCAAGAGGAACTGTTTCCGGGGCTTAGGAGGGTATTCCTGATCCACCTTTTTGCCTAGTAATGTTGGAGGGGTCTTCTTGGGAAGCTCCAGGACATTCTCCATGAGTCCAGCCCCAACGCACTGCAACGCCTGTGCCATTGGTACGTTACAGCGGATCCTACACAGCAGCTGCCCTGGTGGGGAGTCAGGGAAAGCTGAGAGGTCGGGTCCACGTGGAGGTTCCCGACTGGTAGGATGCTTCTACTTCCGGAAACATTCTGTTACTGTAGATTTTCCTCAGGGTAGGAATGGCAACAATGTTTTCCCCTCAAGCTGTGGAGAGACTCTGAGATACTGTTACTAAATGTTAGTAACAAGATATTGTTACTAACACTGTGGTAGTGTATTGTTATCTTCTCTACACTGAGGACACTCTGGTGCAGTTCACTAGACCAAAACAAAGCCAAACTGAAAAAACAACAAAAGAAAATTCTTGTCATCCAGGAAAACACTGAATGTCCAGTTCTGCCAGTGATTAAAATGGTAAGCCTTTTAATTGGTCCCAAGTATAAACATGCTCATTTGGCCAAATTCCCAATCAACATTAATAACGCTAAAGTCATTTGCTCATCTACATTTTTAATGGACTTACTCATCTTGGTATTATTTTATTCTTGTCTACATTTTACACCGTAATTTTCTCCATATGTAAAGTCAAAAGAAAAGTATTCCAGGTTTTGGCTTTTAAAACACCAACAAGCACTCTATTGTATCCACTTACAAACAAACATCTCTCTGTGCATGTAGTGTAGCTGTTCCTTAGTTCAAATGGAGATTTACATCTTAGCCTGATGCTGGTGTAACAAGTGGACTTTAGGATTTGACACAGGTAGTTAACTTTAGTTCAGGGAACACCAAGATGACAAACTCAAATTTTATTAATTTTGGCAGGCCTCATAACAAATATTATCAGTTTGGCCTGGAATCAGATAATCTTAGCAGGCCCAGTAGGGAAGCAAACAGATTACACAGAGAAAAAATGAAGACCAGGTGGGAAGGAGGCAGCAGCTGATACAGCTGTGCATTTAAGACCCTCTCTACTGAATTACCTTGGCCTTTATTCTGTTTTGCCTCGTTAGGCTAAACAGCATGATTTTTCCCACCAGCACAGCTGCACCTGAGGAGCCTGCGCAGGAGCATCCTGACTATCTGCCTGCACTCTCGGGCTTACCTGAGGCTCTCTGTTCATGACTACCAGAAACTGAAAATCTTCATTTCTAATTTCATGATAAAACCCGAAAAAGGTATCTGTTAACTTCATCTTCTTTAAGTGGAACTCAGGTCCTTGTTCTTTGACACAAAGTATATTAGATAATTACAAGGGAAAAAATACAGGTTTTCCAGGTAAAGAATCAAGATGATTGTGACACATCCGAGAGCATTTTTCTTTCTGCATGTCTCTTCTACTTCATTTCATTTTTACTGCTTCCTTCATATTGTGCAACTTTCTTTTTGTGTGCACAGGATCCTTTGCTGTTGCCCGACAGCACGCAGTGATGTTGCATTTGGCTTGATATCCATCTTTTTCTATCACTGCAGTCTTGTCTTCTGTTTTCTGCTGTTTCCTAGCTGACCTCTCAGCCTGTCCTGTGGGTTACAGATTCTCAGTGAACAGCTCACACAAGTATAGATGTTCCCTACAAACAAGAGAATAGTAAGAACAGCAAAAGAATATAATGCAGTAATTTGAAAATATATTTTAGTAGCTAAACACACCACTAATATCATCAAGTATTGTTAGTTCTGTCCAGTCAAATGGCTACAATCATTTCCCTCCTAAGTCACATTTCAAATTAAACCTTGTATGTTTCCGTGTCTCTGCACTATGTTGTCTTTATGTTTGCCTCTATTTTTCTCTACTTGCTTTAATTATTTGTTATAAAAATACAGAAAAAGTACATTAATTCTTTGTAGTGTTGTAGTTTAATAGGTAGTAAAGAATATGTTCTGGTGTCATTGGTTATCCCCAGAGTACTTCACAATTAGTCTGAAATTTTAGCTAAATTTCATAAAATTCAGACAATTTCAAACTATTTGACAGACGCTTTGCTGTGCTCACAAAGGACACTGTCTTTGTTTATAGCTTAAATATTTATTTGGTGAAAAAGTGACCTATCTCACAGTTATTTATCCTTCAGAAAAGAGAATCCTTTTATCTGCCCTTAGCATGACTGAGCCCATTCAATTACAACTTGGTTTCCATCTATGAGTATTACAACTTACCTCTTTTCTAAATAGGATATATATGTAACTTTCCTTCTTGAATGCCATTTTTATGCCTTGACTTCCTTGAATTCTGTACAATTAAATATATTTTTCCATAATTTTATTTTTTACACCCTTATTGCCTGTACTATAAAAAAGTACATGATACTTACACTCACAAAAAATATGTGTAGCAATTTTGATTATTGATTCAACCTGGTATTCCTAGATTGAGACAAAGAGAGAGAACGTAAGGACAAACATTAAAGAATGAATTTTTTAAAACTATTTGCTTTTTCCCTCCTCAGATTTCAGGATGTATTTAGAGGAGGGAATGAAGATTTCATCTACCAGACATCATCCACACATCTCCCAGAAGGCAATAAGTGGAAAAAAAGGGCACACGAATGCTTTGTCTGTGACTTCCATTCTACCATGTGATTAAAATGTCACCACCAACTGAAAAAAGAATGAGGAGAAGCCAGTAGGAGCCAATACTTACAATAATTTGAACCAGGTATGTCAATCCAGCAAAATTCACTAACAGCAAATATTCCGTGGGTCTCTCTTGCTCCCCAAAACCTTGCAGTGCGTCGACTAGAGAAATTTAGCAGCTTATATGGATAACTCAGCACTTCTACATCCTACAGTGTAGAGGACATGCCCTTAGGGCTCTAGGATATTGTCTGTGTCAATTTGAAAAGTTTAGAAGTTTAAGGGACTCAGCACGGGGTCAGGGTCCTCACTTGGGAAAAGTTCTGAGACTGTGCAAGAGAGGGGCAGAGGGTGTGAGTGTTAGACCAGCAGAAGGTGGAGAGCTTGCGTACAATATAAGAGAGGAAAAGAGGTTTGTTCTCCCCTTTTTGCTGTTGTTGCTTTGTTGTCTTCTGCAGCCTTGAACTGTTGCCCCTCAGTCAGGCCACCTCCCTTGGAACCAGCTGATTATGGACTGAAACAAACTGTCTGCCATATCAGGTGGTCAGAAAAGGAAGAAGAGCGGCACACTTTTAACCAACTACCAAAGTCTAGGTATCTGTGAAGTGCACTTATTTCATCTCTAAAGTCTATGTCTGATGTGCTTGTGAGATGGCAGGTGTTATGTGCCTGAAAATGATCTGAAAAATAGTTATCCTCCTTGGTCTTTCTGCTTGGGTTTCTTGTTATCTACATACAATATTTGTGTAGGGAAGCATTTGCTTACCAAAATTATTATCCATTTTATAAGTTTCAGAATAAATGTAAGAATATTTAGTTAAAGTATTAATATTTATGCAATTTTAAAATTATTATGCACAAAAATGTACATCAATGAAAACATTACCGTAGGTTAAAGTGCAATAAAACTATGACATCATTTTTGACAATAATAGATTTTTAAGGTGATAATGAGGATTAAATCAAAAGCTATTTTCATGCAAGGTATGTGTTTTACCACTAAACAACATCCCAAAGTCAGAAAAAATAATGTTTTAAAAATACTTGTATCTATTAACGTATAAAGCTATAATGAAGTACAATGCAAGTATTTATGATGGAATAGAATGTATGATTATTTGAATAGGAAGGTCAGCTAAAAGTACTTCATGTGAAGTATTATGTTTATACTATGTGCTTCATTTTAAACATTTACATTTTTCTTTAGTGAGGACTTAGACTTCACCAGAGTATCATTATAATACCATCAAATATGGGTTTCTACTCCTGAAAGTTAAACAAAAACATTTAATGAAAAAGTAAAGTGTTCAGTAAAATATCAAACCAACAGAAAAAAATTTAAGTTATACTTTGGTGTGCCTGTCTTATCTATCTTCCTTTCAGAGCATTTTGCTACTCTCAAAATTATAAAATTTTATCAACAATATCAATTAATTCTCACACACCAAAATTTATTTAATTTTTTCATTTGTCATATGCATAAGAAAATTGATATCTGAAGCAAAAAGACAGTTATATTAAACATCAATCTATATTTAAAGAAATGCATATGTGATTTGTTAGAGTCACAGGAAACAAAAATCTCATTATATGTACAATATTACGTACTCAGGAAAGAAGTCAGCAGTTCAGATCAAAATTTATGTATGTTTACCTTTACTGCAGCATTGTAGATTAAAAAAATCAGTGTAACTACTTACATGTGTTTTTACTTTTCTACCAACATTTCACATCTTCCATAAAAAGTATGACACAATGTATTACATATTCATTATGAATAAGTTGTGATTTGTATTTATCAAGAAATTTGGTTGGTTTAAAATTATAATACAGTAGTGCTACAAAAATTAATAGGGAAACAAAGTTTTTGATTTATGTGTCTACCTTTATGACAAAAATGTGAAAATTTGACATGAGGGAAAATTGGAAGCTTCGTACACAGCTGCTGATACCATGAGGTGTTGTAGCTGCTATTGCCATTAGTCTGCAGGACCCAAAGTCTCAAACCGAGAGACACCAGCAATTCCACATCTAATTAAGTAGACAGAAATGCCAACAAAACTTGGAGGCAATAATTCATTTCCATGTCAGGTTTTATTGCTCCGTGGTGATGTTTAATTCATTTTCTTATTGTAAATTCCACTGAGGTTTTTCAATAAGAGTGAAATAGGCCATGAAAGTCTTCTGCTATCACTGTGGAGCTGTTTATTTTCCTTTTAATGCAAAATCTTCAAGCAACACAACTGTTCACCAATTGTTGAATTAATTTTTAATATATTATATAGGAATATGATGCAATATTGTCATCACTAAAAAAGAATGAAGTTCTAATAGGTTCTATCACATGAATGTACCTTGTAAACATCATGTTAAGTGTAACAAATCAATTATGATAGGGGATCTTTTGTATGTTTCCATTACATGAAATATACAACAGACAGACTTAACCAGACAAAAAAGTATGCTATTATTTTTCCAGGGTTGTATGTTGGAGCTTGTTGAAGGAATTCCATGAGGAAAAAGATGTCCCTGTTAGTGTGCATTTATCTTTTCTTACTGGTAGGTTATATATGTAATAAAGTTAGATTTTGATAGTGATTGAAGAATCATGGGAACTTACTAAAATTATTCAATTTTCCTTTTAAAATAGATTGTATATCGATGAAACATCTAAAAACTAAAAATATTTAATTTCAAAATCATTATAGTATTTTATAATTCTGATTACTTTTATTTATTTATTTAATTTTGGTACTTGGAATCAAACTCATGACCTCGAGCTTGCCAGGCAAGGGTGGTGCCACTGAGCTGTATCCCCATCTAATTAATTCTAAATGATATATAAAGCTCAACAGTGGATAAAATCTCTTTTAAACATGTGGAAGCCATTAACATAAAATACATTGAGTATAATTACCATGAAACTGATAAATATTAAAAATTCTGCCTCATTCTGCACAATCCAACATTTAATGCCTGAGAGTTCTACATACTGAATTTTACTGAAGTTATAACAACTATAATTACTTCATAATAAAAATTCATCTAACAGTTATGTCTGAAGATATTTTTCTATACAATAATATAAAGCTAAATCTGTTTATTAAAAAGTCACTGTTTCTTGAAAACATCACAGTTACCCTTACCTAACATTATCCACAGATGTAGTAAGGCTCTGTATTGTTTTGATTATCAAGCTACTATTAACTTATGCATAACTAGCGATACCCATATGGAAAAAATGCAGTTTGAGAAATCCTGCTGTGATAATTGAGACGTGTTCTGTATTGATCCAGGAAGTACTTGGCTTATAATTTAATATTTTCCAGTTTGATATAACAAAATAAGCATTCACTAAACTGTTCACCTACACAGGGAACCATGATCTTTCAATTACACTGAAGTTTATTGAGGCCATCAATAGTAGTGATTTGTAAGGTCAAGAGGCTCAAACTTCTAACTCTGTGTTGGAGATCTGGTCACAGATTTTGTGGATGAAAATATAAAGGAAAGTAAAGATGTAAAAATTATAATTTATATTTTATGATTTGAAATTGTCTGGAATTTAAATCAACTATTTTTCATAGTATCGTCTTAATGTTTATTAGCTGTAAAAACTGTTTTTCATTCTAGTGAAGTTTCAAAATAACAGGACAGTATACTTTTTTGATTTCTAACATAGGAGAATCCATGTATTTCATTCATTTTCATGCAAAGTACTACTTTTATAACTGATATTGTTTATTTTTAATGCACAGCAATATGATATTTGGTAGTATTTTTACTTAATTAGCAAAATATCATTGTTAATTTTACTACTTCATTATCAAAAGACTATGATATTAATATTATAAGTAAACACATATACTATCAAACATAAATCAGGAAAAGTTAGTAATAAATGATCCTTAAAGAATCAAATGAATATTGTATTAGTTACTTTTCTTATTGCTGAAACAAAATGCCTGACACCCAAAGTTCAAAGAAGAAAGGTCTATTTGGCTCATGGTTTGTAGAGGCTTCAGTTCATAGTTGGCTGGTTCCAAGGCAGGGTAGCATGGCAGAGGGGCAACTCACAGGAGGAAAAGGTCATGGTGGGCAAAAGACATCAAACAGTGAAGTAAATGAGAAGCAGCTCACAACAACTACCCTCTTTCTATCTGCTGTATCTCATTCAGGCTACCCACCCTTAGCATTCACACCCAAGGTGAGGCATCCTTCATCCTAGCATGGCTCCATGAATCAATCCCAACATCACATCCTTGATCCCAGCAGCACACGTCTTAGATTCATCTGTGTCCCAAAAGCTTAACCTATGACTGCATGAGGATGTGACGTGATGTCTAGGTATGAGCCACAACAAATGTCTGGGAAATTAACACATCAAACAGAAAATAAGCAATAGAATTATAAATGAATTTTAGACTTCTTGACTTCTTGTCTTTTAAGTTATAACATTTATTAAGTATATATTTAATAGGCCTCACCACAAACCATATGTACTATCCACCACATGCTTCAATGATTAAATGGTGCTTCAAGTTCAAATACGAAGTTGTTTGTATTATGTTATCAATAATATTAAAAGAGATAAAATACTTTTATTTTTTGTTAAAAATGAGATGCAGACAGACATGAAATGCATAGTATAAAGTTTTCCTTTGGCTGTTACATGAAAAATTTAAGAATTTTCTAAATTATTTCTTTTTTTTTCTAAGTTATTTCTTTTTTTTTTATTTAAGGAGAAAAGAAAAAAAAGCACAGAAAGGGTACAGGTTATACAGATTTGCAGAAAAAAAATGAACAGTAGGAAATCACTAGTTAATGGATTACATATTGTCATCTTAGAAACAATTGTTCAAGTCACAAAATTAAAGCTTGTAAAGTGGACATTCTATCAATGATACTGCAAACAGTTCTGTTCAATGATCCAATAAAACTCTGTGATATCATATTCTGTCTTATACACTTAAATATACATGCAGTTATATAGTTTAGAGCACTTTCTTTTCCTCTTTTTTGTACAATGACTATTACACATTTTGGGTTTCATTGCTCTCACGGTTCTTATTACTTTTTTGGAAGAGAGTAAAACCAAATGTGACATAACAGAACAGAATCGGTCAAGTCAAAAGGGTGGACATAATAGATAATGTGAAAACATAATACAAGGTGATCAACAATGGTTACCACAATGCCTCCCGCTATCTCTAATAGAATTGCCTATACCATTAGTTATAATACAATTGAACAAAACAGTAAAGAACAAAACCAAACCATTGGAGACATTGTAGGTCTTCAAAAGTAGATAGGAGTAAATATATCGCCTTATCGGTATAAGACTGGATGATATATGAGGATGACTTACCTAACTACATGTTGCTTGATCCTTACAATTTTATTTGTCTCACAAAATCTTTTATTACTGACTCTGAGTTCAATGGCTTTAAATATATAACAGTCTGAGATTTCTTAAATGCTGTCACTGCTTTTATAGGCCATATTCAATTACTTGATACCTTATACTCTCAATCCAGCTTTGTAAATGTCTAGAAAATATTAAAGTTATCATTTCAGTCAAACTATTAGGTTGTATGAAATTTTCTTGAATATAAGATAAATATTTGATTTAGACTTACTGTCTGTATATTTCTTCACAAACTGCAGAAAGGTTTGGACAGCAGATTTGAGAGGAAGCATAAAAGTAATAAATAAAGAACAAATTTTGTCCTTACAATTGATATATTTTGGATTATTTCCAAGGAAATTTTATTTGGACAAAAGTTTTCAGGAGACAGAAGGTCATTAAAATTGCTGAGTTAAAAAAATTACCAATGCAGGAAATTTTATGAAAACGTATCTTTTGTCAGTATATTCACATTATTTAATAAATGAAAACAAATAAAAACTTTACAAAAAGAGTAAAACAACCATAACTAAGCTCTACTGCTTATTTTTTCTACTGGAAATCCACCTTCTATAACATTGCTCTGGTTCTTATAAATAAAAATAAAATATTATTGTATAAAGGACCTTTGTAATTCATCATGAAAGAATACTTAAAGTAGGAAGTTGACATTAAACTATTCTAAACAGTTTTACCCATTGCTTCTTTGGGAATTACATGACATAGCATCGAGCAATAGCTAATCAAAATTGTTTTACCTGCACTAGCAGAAAACTATGTATACTGAAACATTTTTTCTCTTGTGCCCGAAAACTTCACAAGTTCAAATTTTCTATAGTTGTACAGGAATTTAATTCAAACAATTTTTGATAATTATGTATAATAGTGTTCACTTAAATTTGCTTACATAAATGTTCAGTGAAATTAAAAAAGATTTTAAAAGGCAGTAGTCATTGAACAGCTTCCTTATAAATAATTGTGAATCATATCATCTTTATGGAAGAGATCTCACTGTTCGATACTGATGCTACAAATGTTACATGAATTATATTATAAACTTTGAGTTGAAAATTATGAAGTGTAACCATCTTTATTACCTTAATTTGTTTTCATACTTCTTAAAATAGTTTTAACCCAATGCATTTTATCATAAAATTGATATCATTATTAAAGGGAGTATCACTAATAAGAAAATGAAAGGGGAATCAGCAGATGAGAAATAGATGTATCAAATCACAGGTAGGATAAAATACATATTAAGAATATATACTGACTTGTATCTCGAATATATACAAAGACTTCAAAAGCCAGCATACAACCCCACACATAAATTCAGAAACTATCTGATCATATATTTCACCAAAATAAGAATAATGAATTCTTATCATAACATAAGTGGATGTCAAATTAACTATGATTCCTAAATAAAGTCAGGCAAAAATAGTTTTATGTAAACATTTAGATTGATCTATTGGAAATATAATTTAATTTTTTATGGCTGAAATTGCCTTGATGTTTATTAAAAACAAATTACATAGAGGTTAATGAACATTTTAGCAGAGAATGTATATCATCAATATTTGATTATGATAATGACCTGCCAGCCATATACCTACATGTAAACCAATTAGCTGAAACAAGTAAATGATTTGCATTTTTGTTTTATATTGGGTATAGCTCAATAAATGTAAAAATATTTTTAAAATGAGTATGTATATTGCATATTTACTTTGGGGGAATTTTCAGGATTTAAAATATATGTTTTGGAAATGTTGATTGAAATAAGGTCAAAAATTATTTTAAGTGTGCTGCTTTTGTGAGTTACCTACCACTCTGAATAGTAAATGTTTAGGCAGATGGTTATTCTTCATAGAAAATATTCCAAACTAATTGTGAAAACTACATTTATTCATGAAGTAATAAACTTAATATGTAGATATAAACTGAAATAAAATGTAGCTCATTATGTTTTTATTTCTGACATTAATTTTATTACTGTCACTTAAACCTACCCAGATTAAGATACTGTTTTTCAACAAAACATATATTCAGAAAGCGATAGCAGACTAAATTAGGTAACCACCACAGGCTGATCCAGGAATTCCATCCAAACCATCAAGTACATGGTGCTGTGAGGTTACAGGAAAACCATGGAAATTGTGAGACAGAATTTGAACAAGGTAGGAATTTAAGTGATTATAAATAGGGAAGAAAGAAGTAAAATTATCCCTATTTACAGATGATTTAATTCTTTAGCAAAAATCTGCATCAGAATTCTTTCAGTGCTTATAAATGAATTCAATGAAGAGGCAGGATATAAAATTAATACATGAAATCAATTGCATCCCTGCATGCTAATAAACAATATGCTAAGAAAAAAAAATCAAGAAATAATTTCAGTCATGATAGCTTTCAATTATGTACCTTGGAGTTAACCTACCCAGGAAGTCGAAGTCATTTAAACTAAAACTTACAGAACTCTGAATAACAAAACTGAAGCTGACTTTAGAAAATGGAAAAACAAAACTAAAAGAAAATTGAAATGAATTGTTACATTATTAAAATGACCATATAACCAATAATTGTGTGTAGATTCAGTGCAAACACTTTTAAAATACTGACATTGATTTTCGCAGCACTAGATAAAAGATATTAAATTTCATTTGGGAACAGAAAATAATCCTGAATTTAATCTGGGATGGAAAAAACAAAGGACAGCTAAATCTCAAGATAAAAGACCAAGGCTGAAAGCATCACTATGCTGAAATTCAAGCTATACTGCAGAGTCAATACAATGGTAACAAGTATTACATGGAACTAGCATGAAAACAGAAATGGAGACGAGTGGAGTAGGAGAGAAGACAGAGAAATAAACCCAAAGGGCCATAGCTGTTTGATTTTCAACAAAAGTGCTACAACACATGCTAGACAAAAGACAATGTCTGAAAGAAGAATCTACTGATAGAATTTTTAGGGTCTCCTATGTAAGTAGTCACATCATCTGCAAATACTTTCCTATTCATAGCACACTTACTTCCTGATGTAAACTGCCTGGCCTGGCTAAATTTTAAGCACTATATTGAACAGGTGTGTGGAAAATGCATACACTCTTCTCCTTCCCAATTGTCGGTGAAAATTTCATTGTGGGGTTACAATGTATGGCTTTTATCAGTTTGAGGTAAAATATTTCTGCAGCTTCAAGGTTTTTAGTTATTAACATATGTTGAATTTTGGTGAAAGTTTTGTTCTGCGTCACTGAGATGCTCACTTGTATATACATGCATGTATGTATGTATGTATGTATGAATTATGTATATATTATTTAAAACATATTTTATGTACTTGACCATGTATATATAATACATATATTTATATGTATATAAGTATAAATTCTATATAGCCCAATTAAAAGCATTGATTTTACTTTGTGATATGACTTTTGCCTTTGTTATTAAAAGTTTGGTGATTGTTATTCAAGAATTTTTACTTTTAACTGCTATTCATAAGAAGATTTTGACATTGGGAAACTTTTTAGGAAATTCAGTAATTATAAGACTTTGGCCATAATATTTTAGGAAATTCAGTAATTATAAGACTTTGGCCATAATATTTCCAAAACTATATATGTGGGTCAAAAATACAATTTAATTTATAAATTTCAATTCTTATACTCTAAATAGTAACCAAAGTGTACATAGTAACCATAGGTAAAGTTCACATTACACTTCAAAGAAAACCCCTAATTAAACTACCAGTTGGGCCATACTTACTTTGAATACCCTGGAGGAG